AATGCTTTTGGCTGTGCTTTTACCATGAGATTCAATGGATAACAACCTTAAAGCTCCTTTTTGGGACAAACTTCATCAGAACCTGCCATCAGGTCCTCTTCCCCTTTCTGAGAAGACAAAGCAAGAAAGCAACCACTTTGCACAATGCTGACACACAAAAAGGTGACTATCTTACCTGAGCCTGGACAACTACCACTATCTCCACTCCACATTCACTTGTGTATGCACTTTCATCTTACACAACCATCAGGGTTACTCACCACAGAGCTATAGTATGATGTGTAGTCTTTTGGAACTTAGGCACGTATGCCATCAAAAACTCCACAACCTTACATGTATATTAATTACCATTACCATGGTTTCTTTGCTAGAAGGTAGTGGATGTTACAAAAGGCTGGACGTAGCCCTGGAGTACTGGCTCCAGGTGGCCTGGCTTGAGCAAGATGACCTTGATGACCTCCAAAGGTCCTTTCCCACCTCCAACATTCTGCCAAGTCTTTTTTCCCCCTTATATTTATTTATCTGTAAAAGCCCCCAAAACCTGTAAGTACTGTGTTAGAAATTGTATTGTTGATATTTTCTAAATTAAAAGTTAAAAAAAAAAAAGGTTGTGCTTGGCTTACCTAAATGTAATTAAATGTTTGATGTACAACACAGAGTCAGGCTTGATGGTGGGTACCAGGAAATACTATCTGAAGACCCACTTAAGAGCACCACCTGCACAATTCATACCTGTACCCCAAAATTAAGTTTGCTTTTCTTCTACCAGCCTAAGGCTACTTTATTCAACTGTATGAATTGCACTTTTTCTCCTATTACATAGACATATATTCAAACCTAGGCTCATTTGTGAATAGAACTTTTCTTGATTATTGTCAGTGTTTCATTGCATTGTGTCATCTTATTTGTCTTTTAATGCTGTAATTTCCTTATTTCACAATGTTTTAACCACATTGGCTGCAACTGTTAACAGAATAACTAGTGATTTTGGGGCCAACTAGAAAGGCTTAAAAAAGATTTGATTAGGCAATTCAATTTACTAATGTTACAACATCTTCACTTGATTACTTTAAATGAGTGTTGGTGCATATCCACTTCGGCAAAATACTGTGAAGTTTAATCTTCTCTTCTAAATAACAAGCTTTCACTGGCGAAAACACATGGGCTAAGGAATACAAATAGGATTCAGGAAAACAAAGGCCACATTTACCTGGCAGAATTTACCATAATACCTTTCCTGGGGTAAAGTTCAGGACACTGTACTGAAATCAAAGTAATTTAATTTCTGAACAGCATTAGATATGAACGCAGATGCATGCGTTCTACTTTTTCCCATCCCTACTTTCAGCTACTCCTGGCTGGTAGTTGTTCCAGTAAGATGACTTCCCAAGGACTTCTGAACTCCCTGGTCCAGAGTTAGGAGAAATGTTGTAAGGTCTCAGAGACACAGCCTGAACTACGACTACAGTCAGCAGTAATGCAGTGCAACCTGCCATTAAAACATTTATTCCACTGTCTKTGTCAAATTCCAAGCTAGTCTCCAGTCTCCTAACCAGTAATACTTCCACCCCTCTCTATTTTATCTGACAATCTTTAATGCGATCTTTAAAGTCTTCATCTTTCTCCACCCTACATTTTCTCATGTTGTAGATGGGAGAAGAGCCCACCTCCTCTGAGACAGAAGTGATGTACTTTGGTTGGATTCCATTAGGAAAGTACATTAAGATTGAGCCAGAAATGACCTCAAGGCTAACAGAGGTCCTTAACTAGGGCTGGAAGTGAAGAGGGTAAGGAGATGGGAACCTTGAGAGTTCCAACTGCCCTGTCATGGGAGTTCGACCAAACTTTCAATAGATCAGTTTGCTCAAAGTTCCATTCAACTTCTTTTGAACATTTGCAGGGATGGGGCATCTACAATATCTCTGGGCAACCTGTGCCAGGGCCTCACCCTCACAGGAAAGGATTTTCCTCCTGTCTTTTCTAATCTAAACCTGCCTTCTCTCAGTTTGAAGCCACATCCCTCCCCTTGTCCTATCACTCCATGCCCTTGTCAAAAGCCCCTCACCAATTTTCTTGTAGCACCTTTAGATATTGGAATGTGCTCCACGGCTCCCCAGAGCACTCTCTTCTCCAGGCTGAATAACTGGAAGAGGTGCTAGAGCCCTCTGAGCACCTTTGTGGCTCCTTTGGATTTGCTCTAGTGGGGCCTATATCTACCTTTTGCTGAGCTTCCAAGAGCTGGATGAAGTCTCCCAGACAGGGTCTCACCAAAGCAAACAGATGGGCAGAACCAAACACCTTAACCTGCTGGTCATGCCTCTTTTGATGCAAACCAGGATATGTTGYCTTTCTGGCCTGGAATGCATGCTGGTGGGTCATGTTTAGTTTTCTGTCAGCCAACAACTGCATATCATTCTTCTAACAGCTGCTGCCAGCTGACTGTATTTGTGCATGGGATTGCCCTGACTGGCCATGTCACCAACAAGATGCCAGAAGAAATTAAACTATTACACCAGCATGCAACCAAATTCTTGAGATGTGGATGAAGATCATGAAGGTGAGACCCACAAACCACCTCTTGCCACAAAAACAGAGAATGGATTTATTATGGATTGCTTTTTCTGTATTGTTGTTCTTATGCTCTTGATATTTAATTATGAAAGAGTATTCATTCCTTTTTGTTACCATGTAAGACACGGATCAATTATGGGAAGCATTTTAATTACTTAATAATTCTTTAATCAAAGGTTTTAACAACTCAATCTAGAAATACAAGTGATTTTCCCAGTTTGATGGCCATTTATTTTGTCTCTAATGATTTTAAAGGAGGCTGTGAGATAATCTGCAGTAGGAACGGCTCACCAGCTAGGATTGCCAGTAAAACCCAGTATGCCGAAAGGCTGACTATCAGACCCTTTTTGGAAAAGCTGGCTCAAGAGATGTGACCACAAGGCAATTATTTCTGAACTTATTTTCAGGGCAAACAAAGATAAAAGATGGGCTTCCAAGCAAAGAAATGAATCTTTCTGCAGCATAAGGTTTATTTTAAAAGATCTACCATTGTTCGGATTGCTCTCATTGTCATTCATTGAAATACCACGGGCAATACTGCCAGGATTTGAGTGTGGACTCTTTCAGTACCACAGTTCTCAGGAAAAGAGTGAAATAAAATCTCTCACATTAAACAATAATGCTCCTACATCTAGTAACAGTTCATAAATTTATTACATATTACCCTAATGCAGGTTTATACCATTGCACATATAAACACACTGTATGAATTACTCACTTGGTTCTCTGTAAATGTCTTAATATTGTTCATATAAGAGATGATTACAAGAAATACAAGCAAAAACACATGAGCAAACTGGTAATTCAGGAGTAGTTGCGTAAAGTTATACTAGTTTTAATCTGTATTTACATTACAAAGAATCAGCCTGGAAATAGCTATCTTAGGGTAAATCATTATCAAAAATCTCTGTTGAAAACACCTAAAACATTAGTCTCCTTAATTTATCTCAATGTATGTACTAAATACAAATMCCCAACTTTACTGGCTGAAATCCTACCCCATTTAAATTAATTCTTCTCCCATTTCAGTGCAGCTTGGGAATTCATTAAGTGGTATAGAAATGTTAAGGCCACTGTGACCCATCTTCAACAGAAATGTAAAATCAAGACTTATTATTTATACCTCTAAATTAAGTATCAGTCTGCTTCTTAAATAACATCTAGGATTTCTTTTATAGGATACCTAAAATGACCTCTTATAACATGCAGTCTTTCACAACAGCAACACAGACATCACAGATAAAAAGTTAATCCTATTTTAAAGAATTCCACTCCTGAACAATATTTTTCTTTTAAACTGCAGTAATCTCCCTGAAGAGAGCAAAAAGTTGGTAAGTAAATGTTGAATCTCTGAAAATTTTAGTACTATATTATTTTCCAAAGCACCAAAGACCAATGGCAATTGCATGCATCTGTACAGAGCTGAGAATCTGCATGGTGAGATCCCAAAGCACTGCAGAAATGTAATTAAAGTCTCTGGCTGTTGTGAGCTCTGAAACAAATTAGTGATAAATTTTCCAAGCCTTAAAATATCCTGTACTAAAACTCCATTTCATCTGCATGGTGAGGTCTCACTAACAACCTCACAAATGCAGACAGATATGAAACTAACTTGTCAAACAAACATCTGCATCCCACAGAGTAAGGTCAAATATTGTTTCAGCTTTTAAATTCATATTGTATAGGCTGTGTCTTCCTTTGATCTTGGTTTTATATTCTACAGAAATATGCTACCTATGGCTTTTAGGAAACCTGATAATCAAGCATGAAAGTTCAGTAACCGCTTTATGTATTTTAGATTACTTTCCTACCGAGATTGGAGATTTTCCTTTTATATTGATGACTACATCTGCTTTCTGGAATTATCACACATTTAACCAAAGTCTCTGTATAACTTCATGTGCTTCCTATGATTCATTAATGAAAAAGCATAGCTGAGTTTATCCAAAACAAGAGAAAACTCACACCAACATTCTTGGATGTTGCAAATAATTTGCTATGTAAATCAGACTTCCGTTGATCAGCATTCAGGAAAGTCTCTCATTCAGTTTAACAGTAACTTTATTTAATGTACTTATTTAAAACCATGCTCCCTACATAGAGTTAGATATTTATTCCAGGACCTATGAAAAATTTCCCAGCTTTTATTACCACTCATATTTTTCTTAGACTCCTACAGAAAATGTCACCAATTACTTAAAGAGAAAGGAAAAAAAGAAAAATAAAAAAAACAAGTAAAAAAAGAAAAAAAAAAAAAAAGAAAGAAAAAAATAGGAGTGTCTGCACAATACAGCAGCAGTCATATGCTTTCAGCCATATTTTGCTGTAGAAAGGTTAAAATGAAGTCAGAACCAAATGCATTTTTAAATAAACAAGCTGCTTGTCGGCATAAAAACGTACACTAGCTTACTGCAAACAAACAGATGTACCTGCAGAGACACGGGGACAGTCTGGCAGCATGGACTCCACTGACGTGTCCAGGGGCTCGGAGCTGGATACCCAGTTACAGCAGTTCTGTAAGAGCACATAGGCAATTCTGGGATAAGCCAGAAACTCAGAGCAAAAATAAATACAGATATTGTAAGTGAGGAAAATCATGACACCTAAATATTCAAACTAATTTACATAGCAGTCCCAATAGGGACTGGACAGTACACTACACTAACTTACATTTATTGACAATAAAATACTGTCATTTCATGCTAAATAAGTAGGGTAAAACCATAATGCAGGAGATTTCTAATGTGCTTAACCATGTGTAAGGTGCTTTGTAATCACATCTTGTAAGTGCTACATTGAGTGCCAGTGGACTTGAGCAGGTGCTTGGACGAAGCAGTGCCTGAACTATGCACCACACATTTTAAGCTTTTCCTAGTTCATGTTGATATAGACACTGTGCCTGCTCATTTGCTAACATTAAGAAATCAGAATTTTTCAGGGCGTTTTGATGGAGTACACAGTGGAAAGCATGTTTGCGAAAATGTGAAACAACATATTATAACTGAACAGAAGACATCAAGATAGCAGATTAATGTTACTATAATTGGAAATACAGCTGAGATGAATGTGCATGAATATAAAAAAAAGGCAAATACTGGTCTTCGGGGAATTATATTCAGGAAGCATTTACATTTACCTTTCATTCCTGAATCTATGAGTAGGACGAATTTACCATGAATTTTCTAAATGTTTTGCTCCAAATGCTATCTATTCAGAGTAGTCTATAAACTGAAGTATTAAATAATATGCTTTCAATAAAATATGCTGAAACTATATCACATCTACTGAACTGAAGACTGAATTATAAAGCAACTACATTTTAATAGGATTACCAGCTGAACAAGAAGATCTACATTGCTTGCTCTAATAAATATCCGAGTTTCTCCTTTCTGAAAACCTGATTAACTTCATTAAGGGGAAAAGGAAAAAAAAATCCACAACTTTTTGGAAAGACCCAATCAATTTTTGGACAGATTTTTAAAAAATCATACCAGCAGTCATGATAGTAAAAATGGACGACTTCTATTCTGGTAAACAGCATGTATTGTGTATTTGTAGATGCTTGCTGCCCTAGTTGTGCACCATGGAGTCTGTCCTCACTGTGGAAAGATCCTTGACTGGTAGATCAAGTATCTTATTGTATTTCCTTAATTCATTCTGTCTGGAAGAAGATGTCAGCTGTGTTGCAGTGAGGAGAGAATTTCAAAGGCTTCAGTCCCCACCAATAAAGGACGAGGAATGGCTTTTGAATAGATTTGTCAAGGCAACCCTACTGTTCTGGGACCAGGGAGAGCAGGGACAACATAAAGGAAGGGTTGCTATATGAGATTAGAAAGTGAAGTTCACAAAGCATGGCAGATTTTTGTAAGAAACAGTAGATCAATGAAACTATTGAACTCAATGGAAAAAGAAAAAAACAAACACACCATCCAGTAATATAACATATTTAGTAAAAAATTGTTAAAATGGAAGTATTTCACAAAGGTTTTAAGGTTTCAAGTAGTGAAGCATTACAATTTTATGATTTGCATGTGTAATTTTAATTAACAGCTGAATGTGAAACTGCAAATGTAAGGTGGTAGAAATTACAAAAGAAGTAGAATTTTTATGAAGTATTACAATCATTTGAAATAAGTAAAATTAATATTAACTACTGATAGAACACTATATCAGAAAGCTGGAGATAATACAGAAGATTAGCACACAATTAACTAGCTTTTATATACAATGTGACACTTGCCTGTAAGAAATAAGTATTCTCGAAAGCAGTGTCAAGATATGTAAATGGATGATTTGTTTTATCATTCATCACAGCTCCTAATAAATTCAAAAATCATGACTTCTATAGGTACTAAAAATAGGCCAGCAGTGATACAGGAGAGATAGCTCCARTGAAGAATTACTTTATTTTAACAATTCATTCTTTCAATGACAGCAATTAGCCATACAGACAGGCAGCGATTAGGTGTATATTTTAATTATTATTCATTTCACCAGTAGCCTTAAACCTGATTAAAGTAAGAGACATCCAGGTGATATGCTAGTCTTAATACCACTCAGCCACATTTCACATATGTAAAATTCTTCTTTCTTATAGGAGATTTTTAATGCTAATGTAAGTTATGACATTCCAACCACTTTTTAGGCCATTAATCATTTAACTTATTCTTTAACATCTACTTTCTGCAAATGAAATTAAAGGTAATGCATTTTCTTATTCCAACTAAATGCTTAAAGAAAAATGGAGTTGTCAGATTCAAATTACAGGATTTAAAATTTCAGTTTTACTACATAACACATATTTTAAGGTTTTGATTTCCCACAAAGAAAATGGGGATTTCTCTGACAGAGCCTGTAGGGGTTACCATTCTTTGTATTTTTAACACTTAAGTCAGAGCTGTCAGGCTGCATCCCAGGTGATCCTCTATTCCCATCAGTCACGGCCTCTAAAACTTTAAGGTTAAGTCAGGAATAGGCATTCTCTACACAAAGTTTCACTAAATCCATGAGAAAAAGTCATATCTAACCAGAAGTTAAGGATATTACTAGTTTAAATTTGCTCTGCGCACCTATTGTTTTAGCGCTCTGCCATGGGAATGCAAAAAACACAGAGATGAGCCTGATCTGTCAAGGACGAGATTCACAAACAGTAGTTTAGTTGGTCTCGCCTTAAAAAGATTATTTTTTAAATCTCAGCAACCCAACACATAAGTATGAGAGCTTTGGAGAGCTACAGGAGTAATTACATCCCAAAAAGCTGCTGAGAGAAAGGGTATTTTGCCAGTTGTGCAAATCATCAAACTGAGTCATGAAGACTTAAAGGGGATTTTCCACCATTGTCAGATCAACCCAGTTAGCACCACGTGGACCCAGGGCTTTGCTCCAGGTATTAGGTACTGCACAGGCTGCTGTAGCACATCTCAATTTTGCTGTGCATCAGGAAGAAATACTTAGCATTTTGACTGCTAACCTGGAAGTTCAGAAATGGCTTTAAACCTGGTTGTTTCAGTGGCTGATAAGGATACATGATTTCCACTGTCATGTAATATGCTGTCTTTCACACCCAAAAAATCAGAAGAGGTCAGCAGACAGACATGTTTATTCAGCCATACACAGATGTACATACTCCAACTCTTTAAAAAAGCATGGCCTTACCTCTCGCATCCATTCTCGAATAGTTTTCCCAACTTCTTGATGCCACACATTGTGAACAGAGTCTGTCAACGCCACAGCAGTTACCCTGTTCTTTACTTCTGCCTCTCGTTGAATCATCTGTTAAAAAAAATGTATTTCAATAAATCCCTTCTATTGAATAGTCTGCTTAGTGAGAGATAATGATCTTACATAAAAAAAGAAACAGCAATAGAGATTCAATACTTGACTTCAACTTGTTTTAAAGTTTATACAAATCCTAAAGGGTCCAGAAAAACAGAAACACCTAATTTTTGATAAAAAAAATAATACTAACTTTTAACTGACTGAACTATTCAGTCCTATTATTTTCCATGTGGCTTGACAATTCTAGGATTAAAGGTATCATAGTGAAAAAATGGAAGATTCCCTGAGGACACCTTTTACAAGCTTCTCCAAGTTCCTATTTCAATGCTTCAGGGAAGCTGGTACCTGTGGTTCACTGTAAGGTTCTCATGACTATCATCTACTAATTTTCAGTAGATTGCTGTAGCTTTTCTGATGTACAATCTCACTTTGACTTGTAGGTTTTTTTTTTCTTTTTCCATCCAATTTAGCTRTCTTGCACGCTCACCATGGTCCCCAAATTCTTCTCTCTTCTCTCTTATTCACATGCTTACTCAGCTAACACCAAAGCCTCTCAACATTTTTAGGATATTAAAGAGCCTGTGTTGTTGCAAATGACAGTATGACTAAATAATATCAGTTCCAAAATTAATTAAATGATTGCTGCATAAAACACAAGTGAACTGACAAAGATGCTGTGGAATTCAGCACTGTTCTCCAAGATAAAAGGTACTAGGAAAGAATAGTTTGATATCAAAGAGAGACAAAAAGGTTCTAATCTCCTGACATGAGTGATCCTAATTTGCAACACTGGATCAAAGAAAGCATAATAAACTATACTTATAAAACCAGCATTTCACATCCAGTGTCATTATCACTGTGTATGCTGCAATAAAGTTAATAATTTTTTTAAGCTTGCTTTTATATAAATGTAACACATACCAAATTGCTAAAATCAGGCATTCTTTCTTCATGCTCTAGTGACTGCTTATCAGCACACAGGCTACACCCCTGAACCCACTGTTCCCTGTCCTTAACATAAGAATTACTCCAAAATCCTACCAGAAAAGAAGTTTTTTGAAAGAGATACTACCTAAAAACAAGACCTGTCAGCCACACACACTGAATCCTGCTGTACACTGAATAAGTTTTTGAAGCCATATGTACTAATATTCCTGTTCCAGTGCTGTGCATTCCAGCACTCATTTGGCTGCATGGTCTTCCACCAAACACTGTGATTTAAACAGGCAAAGGTGCAAAAATATCACTGTTCTTGAAGCCCACATACCTACCAATTACTCAGAGTTATTACATGCTGGGTGAAGTTTAAAATCATCACCAGCTCAGAGTATTCCAGCATGACTTCCTCCATGAAGGGCTGGTATTCAGAAGCACTTCTAATGACCAGCAAAGATAAAAAAAATACGTTCCGCTTTGGAAAAGCAGTTTTTTCTCAGGCTACTGTGTCCCATGTTTCTGTTTCGAAAACTATCCATCCAGTTCATCTTAGAACATCACCTTTTTCTTCAAATCACAAGAAAATACAAAGGTGCAGTTCCCTTTTTCCTTTCCAGACACAGGCTAGGTTTGCTATTCTCAATTTCCCTATGCACATGTAAGAACTGGCAGTCATTGATCACCATCCCTTTCTACTCTTTCTTCATATGGTACATGCAGTCTTTGCTTTTCAGATCATATATGATATATAGGAAATAATATGCAATACCCAACATGCTCCTGGTGCTTGCCATTCAGCTTTGTGGATGCCTGCAGAATTGTATTCTCTTCACAAAGATCAGCAAAGAGACTGAGGCTGACAATGTGATGTTTTTGATAACTCAGCCACAGTGCTAGGGTTAGGATAAGGTCTCATGGATGAAGCAGCAAAGAGGGATCAAAGGGATTAACTGAGCCTCACTTACAAATTCTTTAACATCCAGCCCAGAAGAAAAAAGTTTTGGTAGGCATCCATGCCCTTCTGAGCTAACTCAGAAAGAAACAGACAAAAACAATACATCAAGTGGGGAAAGGATCAAGGGTATAATCTTCACTTAAACAAGAAGTCTAACGTGTCCATGTTTCAGTGACACAGAAATGTCACAACAGAACAAATCAAACTAAGGACACTTTTGCTTCTATCAGAGCAGCTCAAGTTCCCTGCTACAATGGGATGTTCACTGATAATAATAATCAAGGAGAACAGATCCAGGTTAAACTCAAGCAGCAGACCCTCTTATCAGGGATGGTAACTTACCCTTCCATAAGATACAAGAAGTCTACGTGCTTTTGGGCACAGATGCTTGAATACTCAATAAATGTTTCAGATTCAATGGATTGATAGCTCACACTTAGAACATACTCATTGTTTCTAAGACCAGTTTTGAATTAAGATAATTTTTTAAAATTAAATGGAATAAAATTGTAATAGTAGAATGTATTTACTTTAAACAAAAATGTAGCATCCATCTACCATTCAAATTTGATATAACTTGAAAGTTGCCCCAAATTCCAAGGGAAGGGTACTATAGGATGCATGATTTACATTTCCCAGGACTTGTATTCTATGCAGCCTGTACCATTTTTTGATGTGGACATACTAAAACTGAAGATATTTAATAGACCACAGTCTACTAAAAATTAGATTTTTTTCTTCAGAATAATAATTTTATTTTTTTTTTTTACTGAAGGAAACAAAGGCCTAAGGATTTTGTTTAAATTTCATTTTATACCTTATACTCTTTGTACATTTGTAAATTCCATAGAGAGAATGTTTTCAAAGACTAGGAATTACTTAATTTCCTGCTCAATGCCCATTTTAAAATCTTAAATTATTCTTAGCTGAGTAGATTTTGCAGTAGACATCTCCAGACATCTCTCTGTGAGCCTCATAATTGAATGGTTCTGTTCTTACACTCCTTCTTCCAATAATTTGTTTACAATCAGAAGTAGGTAAACTGGCACTTCTGTGTTATGTAGACTTATTCTCATGTATCAATGAGATACATTGATATATCATGCATCACTCTCAATTCTGGGTCCTCTAGACTTTCCCAATAATCTTCTCTCTTCAAGCATTTCCATTTTATCTTTGTTCATGTGTCCAGTCTTTGTAGTCATAGTCAAGTTTCATTTCGTAACTTATTAACTGCATACTAACACTATATATTTGATTCCCTTAGAATGACAAGGTGCAGACCAGTTTTCCTTGCAACAAGTTAGAAGGCATTCAAGAATCGTTTTGAATGTCCTCTTTATCCCAGTGATGGAAAATTTGTTCCTTCACATTGAAAGGGAAAATGTCAATTATCTATTTGGAGAAGCATTCAGCTCTAATAGTTGCATAAGCAAGAACTTGAAATTCCCTAAAAATGCATTCCCTAAGTTCATGCAAAATAATTTCTCATTTATGGCTCAACGTAGTAAATATTCTACTGCTAATCTGTCAATAAATTTATATTACACAGTTATCATAACATTATAATGCCAAAAGGTTGATACCTTTATTATCTGTAGCATATGTAAAGAAAACATAGCTTCATACGTATAATATATATATAGTATATTTAGCATGCATATATAGTTAGATGACAAAATACGCCCTTGGTATGTATTTTGGAGCATAATACTCCTGTCAAGTGAAAGCATCAGTGTGTTAAAAAAGTCAACTCAAAGGTCTGATCCTGCAAACATGAAAACCCATGAAAGTACCAATTAGACTTAAGGTAAATGACCTGTGAGAGTAAATCATTGAAACATTGATTGCATACCCTTTATACCTAATCTAACATTTAAAACAGGTAAAAATTCCAGCTTCTGAGAAAAGTAAAAACAAATTAAAATGTKACCTTATTTTTATAGGCTTTTATTTTTTCAGGTTCATATAATCAAACCAACAACCATTGCTTCACATTCAGGGAATAAATATCATTCTGAATTGTTTATAATTATGAAAAATGGATTTTAAAATGAATTAAAAATATATCCAAACTTTCATTTCTCTTGAAGTTTTGAAAAAACCCTTTCAGCTATTTTCTTCATCTTCCATTGCAATTTCAGTTGGGCATGATGTTTACATGGTATGCACTGACTTCAGTGGGCATGTTGACAACAACATTTAGCTTGGAGTAATATATAATAATAATATATAATTTTGATATAAGTCCTACATTGTATCCCGGTGCATCATACTGGTTTGAGACTCTTAAAACATTTTGGCATCTGCCAACAGAATTCTTTCCAAAGGAAACAACTGGAAGCCCCTGTCCAAAAGACCTCAATGGTTTCCAGAAATTGCATGAATTTGCAGTAGAAATCCTGGTGGATCGAAACAGCATCAGCTAGACGCTGAAATATTTGTAAAAGCAGTGGAAGGTGGGAAAAGCAAAGAGATCATGCAACAGGAATGGTGTACAAGAGGGGAAACTTCCTTTTGGAAGGGCACCCAGATTCCTTGTTGGTAACTTCATACGCTCTCCTTGTGACTTGCCTGTTACAAGCCTATAGTCAACCAACATCCTCTTCAACCATCATTTCCATCAGTCTCATACAAATCAAGTAACTGCTCTGTCTGCGTGGCAAGACTTGAATTTCTCCTCAGTTATAAAACTCCTCTTCACCAGGAAGTATGTAATTCTGTATGCTTGTAGTGCAAGTTTGTTGGTCTGGGATTCCTAAGACCTTTCACTGCTTCCTGAATAGAATTCCTGAATTTCTGAAATACTCAGTTTTTTGCACATCTTAAAATGGAATTATATCCTCAAGCACTCATAAAATATTATTCATTAGGAATTAGAATTACTGAGCAACTATGCTTGAACAGCACAAAGCAAAAATAATAAACAATCCAAAGTTCCACCAGTTCTCATTTTCAATTAGGAACAACAATAAATTACCCTAAATGAATTTGCATATGTGATAAAATCCCTACTTGCAGTAGACAAAGCCCCTGATACACATCAGCTTTTAAACAGCAAAAGAAAATTCCTTCAAAGATATAATTGGAGAACAACCAGAGT